GCTCTCTTACAAAAATCAAATGGACGGGTTTTTAAAAACCGCTTAAATCCATGATTCACAACAATATTTTAAAAATAAACAAGTTGGCCATCGCTGTAGAATTCTGGTGAACCAACAGATTAGCTGGAAAACTGGTACACGAAGGGAATCTTATTTGGCCTTTCCTAAAGGAACTGTCTCAATGGGATCCAAACAGCAGGGGAGGGGGAACTATATCTCTATACAAGAATATCGGCTAAGAAATGAAGGACAGACTATCACAACCACTGATAACCTAAATCACTTAGACTCTTGAGTATTGACAGCTGCTAACATCACAGAGAGGCAACCAAATACCGTGTGCTTCTTGATGTTAAGAGATGACCCTCTCCCCCGACATATTTTTTTTTAGCTAAAATAAATACACTTGAGGAAGCATCTAAAGCAAGTGTTGTCCAACAGAACTCTGCAATGACAGAAATGTTCTAATCTGTATTGTCTACTACAGTAACCACTGGTCTCACATGGTTACTGAGCACCTGAAATGTGGCTCGTGCAACTGAGGGACTTAATTTTTAATTTTACTTAGTTTAAATTTAAACAGTCACATGTGACTTTGGCTACCATGGTGGGCAGTGCAGCTAGAGAACCAACTACCCATTTAGAGAAAACACAGAAGACCAAGGAGTGTTAGACTCCGTGGTGATGCATTCCTCAAAATCCAGACTGTTAGCAACACTCCAAGCAAATTACTCATCTCTTCAATAATTAACTTATAAGGACATGGAAAAGAGATGGAGGGAACGTGAACAAATTATAGAAGAAATGAAAAACACGTCAGTCAATTACATGTGTAGACACTGTGTGGTCCTGATTCAGCAAACTGAAAATCAGCAACGTGGGGCACCTTGGTGGCTCAGTGGGTTAATTCTCTGCCTTCGGCTCAGGTCATGATCCCAGGGTCCTGGGATGGAGCCCCACATCGGGCTCTCTGCTCAGCGGGGACCCTGCTTTCCCGCCCCCCCGCCTGCCTCTCTGCCTACTTGTGACCTCTCTCTGTGTCCAATAAACAAATAAAATCTTAAAAAAAAAAAAAAAAAAAAAAGACAATCAGCAATGTGAATACTGCTGTTAATGTGGGTGTGATCATGTATTTTGGCCTTTATCTATCAGAGGCACATTCTGAGGTATTACAGTTGAAATAATATGATAAATGAGATTTGCTTCAAAATCATGGGTCGGGGATGGGCGGGGGGGTTAGATGGGCAGGAATGGCCATAGATTACTGGTTGTTGGGGCTGGGTGACAAATGATGGAAAGAAAGGAAAAAGACTACCACACGTTCCCACGTCTGGCACAACTTGAAGACTTGGACTACAGAGCCAGGTAAAAGACCAAAAATACTTTAGAAGGAATTCTACACTCAATTCCTTTTAAAGTACCCTTGGGAGAGGCCAAAGGAAGAGAACCAGAAGGGGAAAATGGGAGAAGACAGATTCACTTGCTACTCTACACTTGCATCTGGGTCCCACCAGCCACTGAGTCAGGAAGGAAAAATGTCTGTCGAGTAACTGATTTAAATTCAGAGTTACTTAGCTCCTGATAAACCTTCAAAGGAAGGGCAATGGTGGTCAGGATTCCTGGGGGTCTCTGCCCTGCAGCTGAAGTCCTGCGAATGGGACCAACACAGAAGAGACTTAAAGCCACCTGGACCTGTCACTACCGCCTTCTTGGATACACATGATCTCTCCCCCTCAATCTGTTTGGAAAATTACTGAATCCTTGGTAGTAAAGAGACAATTTTGCAAACTGCCCCGAGGCACACAGCCATAAGGCAGATAGGCTGGAAAACGCCAGTTTCCTAACCAGCACCTGCAACTCCTTTCTAGATCCACTTACCAGCACAGCTGGATTGGCAAATCCCTTGTTCCCACTGTAGGCAACAAAACGTTGCACCTTATGGAAACCTGCCATACATCACTGTTTGCTAACTCCCTCGAGTTAGCGAACACGCTTAAAAGTGCTAGACACTCTGCACCCTCATTTCATCTAATCAACCCTTGTGAGAGGCCGACTCTATTGCTTTTCCATTTTACAGATCAGGAAAACGAAGACTCAGGCCAGATAATGTGTTCCTAACACAGCTAATGAGATGGACCCAACTGATGTCTTCCTTCTCAGGACCCTTCCAGAACCCCTCCTGTGCAGGAACATCTACCCCTCTCAGCGTGGCCCCTTCAGCATCTCACCCTGGCCCAGCTCCTCACCTTCTCCCACTCTTCTCTCTGACCCTACCAGGTCCATTTTCCATCTTCAGGGACCAGAACTTTTAGTACTTTACCTACTCAAGCTTCAGGCTCAGCCCATGCCCCTGCTCTAAAGCCTGCCTCTCCCTTCCCCGCTGCCCTCAAATCCACACCAAGAAACCTTCCCTGGCTCAGAATTTATTACATCTTTGCTTGTGCTTTAGCATTCCTTTTGCTGGAACAGAATTATTAATTAATTGTGTCTTCCCACCAACCCAGATAATTCTAGCTAGAGCTAATGGTCACCTACCACGTTCCCCTCTTCACTCACTTACTACGTTTACCACTCTTTAAGGTAGGTATCATTATTATTCCCATTTCACAGACAAGGAAACTGAGGCCCAGAGGGATTAGCCACTTACCCAATGTCAGGCAGCTAAAAAGTGACAAAGCCAGAGCCTAGGTGCTTAATCATTACTGTTAGATAATTCTAGAAGACGAGGCAGGGAACATTTTTATCTCCTGGCTGCCCGGCACAGAGCAGGCACCCCATAATGTTAAATGGGACTTTGCCTCTCTGCGGGGCACTGGCTCAAACCTGCCCCTCCCCTAGTCCTGTGAGCCAACTGCTAGGTGAGTGCCTTTAAGTCATACAAACTCAGTCATTATGCATCACCGATGGGCCTCATCCTGGAGAAGCATTCCTTTTCTTTGGGTGAAGAAACTAATTTTTAAGAGAGCAGCGGGGTTTGTGTGGAACTCTAGAATTACGCAATATGCTAAGTCACAAGCAATTTGGACAATCCTCTGAAACCGGCCAATACTACAGAGGATAATTCTGGAGGCTTGGAGCATCTTAATACCAACATGTCTCCTATTTTCAGATGGAGGCTGAGAGGGGAAAGGAATCTAAACATCCTTAGTAAACAAATGGAACTTCTCCGGAAGTTGTGCGAAGGTTGTGGAGCTAACACTCTACCCCAGCCCCCAGCCCCCAGCCCTGGGAGCAGCATGTAGGCAAGATCATAGAAATAATATTGTGGTTTATTTATTCGTTTAATCCAGGGCTCCAATGGCGATGTATGCCTGGGACAAGTGAGACCTCCTAAAGGGACTGGATCTTCCTCCCCTGCCACTTTCTCCCCAGGGTAATCTGGGAAATTGGGGGGACCGAGGGGCAAACAGACTACATGCAATCCCAAAACAACGTTGCAATTGTCCTTCCAGGCCGGTGATAAATATGCAAGTGGGACACTTTGTAGAATTTCCTGGAGGGCAGAGTTACCAGCCTCAGGCAAACTGTCCCCTCCCACTTAACCCCATCGGGCCCACAAAGCCTCAGGCCGGCTGACTTTGAACCTCAGCGGCCCACTTAACACCAAGCAGCATGAGCCGTAGCAACCTTTAAAGACGTCTTTCCAGAGGATTTTGGCTCCAGCCACTAGCCTCAATTCATAACCAAATGCACCCTAAGCAGTCCCCAAGCCAAACCCCAGGAATCAGTAATATTCATAGGGAGGGATGGCCTCGCCCAGGAAAAGTAACCAAGTCTTACCCAATCCACAGCAAACACTAGAGTTCCTCCTCCCCATCCCCCCATCCCCCTCCTGGGCAGCAGGGCTGCAGGACCGCCCTGGCGCGCGCAAGAATTATCGCCCACCACCCAGGGCCTGGAGCCCGCAGAGTCCCACTAGGCTAGGAAATGGGGTCATGGGATTCCTAAAACACCACTCTGAGGCTCCAGCTGACTAAATCAGTGGAATGGGATTCCTTAATCTTGCGGGTAGCGGATACATTTGAGCAGGGGATCATGTAAGTTCTACCCAGAAAAGCCAGATGAATGTCTCGATAAGATGTCGCCTACCATTCTAGAAGACTTCAGGTGGGAGGGAATGAAGAATGATAATGCGTGGTAACGAAAACTCCAAACCACTGGAGGCGGGGCACTGAGGCAATTTGCAGTTGAACCCCTTTATCCATCAATTTAATTCAGGAAGATTTGAGAGGGATGACAAATTTAAAGTGCCCACCACAGACTTCCGGTCTAACGGGCATTCCATAATTGTCAATGGGAATAGCTGTTACCGTGAGAGGTTCACTGTGTGCCAAACAGCCGCCACTGCCTCCAGAACGCAAGGAAGAGTGTGAAACTCGGAATTATAGCGCTAGGAATGGGCCGCAGAGAATGGAATTCCTGAGAGCCTGGATCCTTCCTTTCCGAACCCGGGAACCCCGACGGCCTGGTGATTCTTCAGGCTCTGCACACAGAATGGGGTACTAGACGGCCGAAACTGGGCCTGGTTCTTTTAGGCAGTTCCAGAGGCCACCCCCGCGGACCATGCCGGCTCAGGAGCCGGCCTCCAGGGCTTAGCGGCGCGGGCCGTTGGCTACCCAGCAGACAGGAGGACACGCAGAGCCGCCCTGGCCGAGACCCAGAGGCAGGTGCAGAAGCCGCGCAGAGGGCGCGCTCGGTGCCCGGTGCACGGGTGCGCGGGCGGGCGCGGCAGGGAGGGGCGCCGGCTCCCGGAGCCCGACGCCAGGGCGTGGTGCAGGTGGCGGCGGGGGCAGAGTCGACACCGTACCTTGATTTTCGACCTGGCGACCGGGCGCTGCATTACCGCCAGGTGTCCGCCCGGGCCCTCGGCGTCGCCGGGCTCGGAGATTTCGCGTTCGGGGGCGCGCGGGGACGAGCTGCTCTCGGCGCCTCCAGGCTCCCCCGCGCTGCTGCTGCCGCCGCTGCTGCTGCTGCTGCCGCCGTCGCTGCGGCAGTCCTCGGGGGGGGTCGTGGAGCAGACGGCCGAGGCCCACTGCGAAGGGAGGGGCGGTGCCCCGACACACAGACACGCGGCGTCAGGCCCGGGCGTCCGCGGCAGTTTGACCTGCGGGCGGTGCCGCCGCCGCCGCCGCCGCCCCGCCCTGGACCTGGGCACCTGGCCAAGTGGGCAACACGCGGGGGTGGACGAGCGAGTCCCCGGCTGGGCCTCCGGAGCGAGCACGGGATTTGGGGGGCGGCTCCTCGGTCCCAGTCTCCGCGCCCACAAGGAACCGAGGGCCTTGGGTTGCTGCGGACCCCGCGCGCCAACTTCCCTCTCTTTGGGATAGGGGGTTAGGGGTCTGATCTCAACCCACCCAGCCCGAGGGGCTGACGGATCCTGGTGCAATCCCATGAGGACGTGGGACTAAGAGTAGCCCCTACTGGCCTTCGGTCTCCCCTCCTTCGGTTCACCTCGGCCAGCGCGGCAGCCAACGGTCCCGCCGCCGGGCAATTACTGGCGCCCACTAGGGGGAAGGGGGCGCAGGGCGTCCCGGGTTCCCAGCCTCTCACTCTCCGTCTTCCCGCTCCTCAAGAAGCACCCCCCTCCCCGCCGCCCCGAAAGAAGCGGCAAGGGGTGGAGAGTCCAGGCCCCGCGGAGGAGCGGAGGGAACCCGACCACCCCTGCCCCCACTCCGGGAGTCCCGCGCCCAGGCCCGGCCCCCGCGCGGCGCTCACCTGGGATGTAGGTGTCTGCCCTTTCCTCATCCGGGAGCTCATCCCAGCTGCGGACGGAGACCCCCGGGCTCCTCCTCTTCACCAGGAAGACTTTGGGCATGGCGTGGCCCCCTCCCCGGCCGGCGGCCCCCTCCTCCCGGCTGCTCCCCGCTAGAAACTGCGGCAGGGACTCGATACCCGGCTCCCGGCGGCCAGAGCCCACCTTCCCGCCTATCCTGCCCTCTCCCTCCGCCCCCCGCCGCGGCGCGGCCCAGGCCTCTCCCCCGCACGCCCGGCGACTCCCAGCCTCCAAGCTCCGCGACACCTATGCCTTAAATCGCGGGTGAGACCACGCCGAGGAAAAAGTTTCATAAGGTGGAATAGAAAAGGCACCAGGAAACTTGGGAGTGAGCATGCGCCCTGCAACATAACGGTGTCAACAAGCTCGCTACCTGTCCGACCGGTTCCGGCGGCCGGGGCTGCCTGTTCCAGCCCTTCCTTAGGCATGAATGTTTGCAAAAGAATTTAACGTCTGATTCTCCGCCCCCCTCCCCTTTTTAAAAAGGGAAGAACATTTTTTAATCAACCTCTCGCCCCAGTCCCCATCACATGCATCTCAGGGCAAACTCTTAGAGGTAAGCCCCCAGGTCCGCTTCCCCGCGCATCCATCCTAAGAGTTGGAGATTCCTGCGAGATGCACCCCCCCTCCCCGCCCCCAGGTGGATTGTCTCCGACAGGCAAGCAAGAAAATGGCTCAGTTCCTTCGGTCTTGGTGAATGGTTGCCGCGGCTAGTTGAAATCTCGGCGGGCGGAAGGTGGAGGCGGCGAGGAGACTGCAGGGCTCATCTCGTAAGGGGGGGGGCGACTTGGGGGCTTAGGCTCCCCATAATTTACAACAGTCCCCCAAATAAACACGGTAATAATATAATTTAAAGTTCGGCAGCTTTAGACCACGTCATTATTGATTTGTGCCGTACAATCTAGGAAAAACAAGTCGGCTAGCTCTGCTAAAGCAGCTTCCACTCCAAGACCTACCGCTCCAAGAGCCCCATCAACCCAGATAAACACACAATGGAAACAAAAGCCAAGCGCATGTTATGCAAACGCGGCTTCATAACAAATTTCTTATCCTTGCCCACTCCCATTATGGTCTCCCCCCAACCGCCCGCTCCCCAAATTCTGAGGTTGGGAAACACGTTTCCCAGCAAAGTGAAGTCGGCTGCTACTGGGGAGTTGGCTGGAGAGCTTTGTATTTATTTTTGGTTTTGGCTTTTCCTCTCTGCCTTTATACCTGGAGGGGGAGTTGGGAGAGAAGGAAGAGGAGTTGGTAAGAGAAAGATGCCAAGTTTCTAAGAGCAGCAGTGCCGGCATTTGGGGAGCGCGCGCTGTCCCTCTCACGGCCGCAGCTCGGGTGCCCCCGGGGACGCGCAGCAATGCCTCCACGCCTGCGGTGGGAGCTCCTGTGGGCGATCAGACTTGCGCGGGCTCCCGGGGCTGTGCAGGGGCGCGTTTAGCCCGGAGCTCCCTGGCGCCCGCAGCTCGCCCATCCGCCAGACTCACCTGTCTGTAACCTGACCCGCTGCGCGCCCAGCCCACAGGGCTGAGGAATCAACACAGCGGTTTTCCCCGTCCTCTTCCGCCCTGGAATGGCCCTTGGGGACACAGCAGCCTGGTAACGGATTTCTCGGCTCGGCTGGAGTACTCTCCCCGCGCACTGAGAGGGGGCGCAGCTCTCCTGGGTCTGAGGAGCGAGGAGACGCGCCATGCCTCGGGGTCTGCCCTCAAGAGGTCACCCTCTCCTGGCTCAAGCCTGTCTGGACTCCAGATTTTCTGAGAACAATCAACTAAGGACAAAGAGACTTTGATCCGGTTAAGCCCGGAGTGGAGAAGGAAGACATTTCTATAGCGGCACGAGGAAACGAGGCTTCTTTTTAGTCCATGAAGCTGATGGCGCCGCTTCTGGGAGAATCTGAGAATGTATTTTTATCTACCAACAAACGAAGATTTTCTAGAAAGGAGCTTGGTTGAATGAAAGTAAAATAAAGTAAAACTATGAAATCACAGAATGACCTCTATCTCATAAAAATCTTTAAAACTTCCCTTAGTTCAAAATTCCTTCTATTGCGAAAAAGGCGGCCAACCCCATTAACAGATTTTTTTTATTTTATTGAATTTCAAATCAATAAGTGCCTGAACCACTTTGTCCTTTATCTGAAAAGAATATAAAATGACAGATTATAAGACTAGAAACCTCAAGAAGCAGTGCATCGTTCAGCAGATTGGGAATGAAAATTAACAGGAATAACTACACTTTTTTTTAAGGATTGTTGGATGCACACTTACTATGATATTTGAGGGCTGTTTCTTCGGGGGGAAAGGAATTCTAATGTGCTATCTTCCTCTCTCTTCTTGATCGGACTTGAGAGGGATTTATCAATATTATTAACATTTTCAATGTTTTGCTTTTGTTGACTCTTCTTTATTTTATGATTAATTTTCTAAGTATTATGAATAGAGCATCCCCTAAAAGTAGAGTAAGAAATAAGCTCAATTTTTAAAAAATCTCAAAGCTGGTATTTGAGAGAGGCAGAAGTCTTGATCTGACCCACACCCTGCCCCCCACCTCTCCCCTGGGAGGACAGGGTGACCCTCCATAGAGTCCTTAGTAGGTAGGTGTGTGTGTCCTGCCCTGCTTGAATGCTTAAGTGCTGGGAGCTCGCTTTTTCAAAAAGCAGTCTATTCTGGTTAGGTGACAATACTGTTAGAAAGCTTTTCCTTCTGTTTTATGGAAGTCTGTTTCCCTGCAATTCCATCTCTCCTCTGCATTCTGCCCTCTCCCACAGCGGAGACAATGCCTGTGCCTCCCCCCCACCCCCCAACCCCCTCTGTAGTTCTTCAAATGCATGGAAACAGGCATGGGAGTTCTCACTTAAGACCTCTTTTCTCCAGTAATATGTAGTCAGGTTGAAAATAGACAGGTACGAACCTGCTCAGTGGGATCCTTAGAAGATAAAGAGAGGTTAGGATGATGGGGAAATGGATGATGGGGGAAAATTTTTTTTTTTTTTTTACTTTTTACCAAAGTATAACATAGTGTTTTTAAAAAATGCACAAATCATAAGTTTCATGGTTTGATCCATTTTTACAAAAAAAAAATTCTAGCAGACAGCACCCCAGAATGAGACCAAGCTGCCTACTCTCACCACTCCACTTCACGTGAGATCAGCTTTTTGTGGGTACAGTAAGGCAGAGAAGAAGAAATAAAGGTATAAGGATCATAAAGAAAAAAAGCAAAACTATTATTATTTGTAATCAGTATGATTAGCTATGTGGAGAAGAATCTACAGATAAATGGCTAGAATTAATAAAAGTTTAGTAAAGTTGTTTTATAGAAAAATCTCGATATGTGTCAATTGCAAATCTAAACGTCAATAACATTTAGAAATCTACCCAGAGTCATCTGTGGATTTAATACTTGAAGAAAAGAACTTTTTGTGAGAATAACAAACTTGTTCTAAGCTTGTAACCAAAACATTCCTGAAGAACAAGGCATATAGATTCATTCTATCAGATATCAGTGCAGAGTAGAGAGCCCATGTGGACTTTTGATTTATGAGAGAGGGCATTTCAGAAAGATGGGAAATGGGACTGACTGGTAATGCATTTGGAGGAAAAAAAAATAAAGGAAATTGAATAATGCACACACATATGGTCAATTTCCAGTGGATTAAACATTTAAATGTGTATCTTTATGACCATAAGATAGAGTAGAATCTTATTTATTTATTTATTTATTTATCTTATTGAAGTATAGTTGACACACAATGGAGCAGAATTTCTTTTTTCTTTTTTTAAAATTTATTTAAATTCAATTACTGTTAGCTTCAGAGGTAGAGTTCTGTGATTCATCAGTTGTATATTGCACCCAGTGCTCATTACATCACATGCTCTCCTTAATGCCCATCACTGAGTTACCCTATCCCCCCACCCTGGAGCAGAATTTCTTAAAACACAAAGAACAAACCATTAAAGAAAATATCTGGGACGCCTGGGTGGCTCAGTTGGTTAAGCAGCTGCCTTCGGCTCAGGTCATGATCCCAGCGTCCTGGGATCGAGTCCCACATTGGGCTCCTTGCTCATCAGGGAGCCTGATTCTCCTTCTGCCTCTGCCTGCCATTCTGTCTGCCTGTGCTCGCTCTCTCTCCCTCTCTGTCTCTCTCTGACAAATAAATAAATAAAATCTTTAAAAAAAAAAAAAGAAAAGAAAATATCTGATAAGTATAACTGCAGAAAAATTAAGAATGACTATTAATTAATCAAAAGACACAGTAAAGAGAATGAGAAACTAAATTGAAAGTTGAGAGAAATTTTGCAATACATTTACCTTATAAATCATCAGAATTCTGGTGATATAAAGAATTCAAATGTTAGAAAAAGAAACATAATTTTAGGGCCGGGTGGCTCATCGGGTTAAGTCTCTGCCTTCTGCTCAGGTCGTGATCTCCGAATCCTGGGATTTAACTGGGCTCTTTGCTCAGCAGGGAGCCTGCTTCCCCCCCTCCCTCTCAGCCTACTTGTGATCTCTCTCTCTGTGTCAGATAAATAAAGAAAATCTTAAAAAAAAAAAGTAATTTTTAAAAATGGCAAAAGACATGGACAGGCATTTTCCAGAAGAGAAAACACGAATGACCCATCAACACATAAAAAGATACTCAATCTCATTAGTAAACAGGAAAGTGCAAATTAAAATGACAATGAAATATTATTTCATGTTTGCCAGACTGGCAAAATTAAAAAGTTTGACAATACTGCTAAGTGTTGCTTTGGATGTGAGAACAATAAGTTCATGCATTGCTAACAGGTATATAGACTAATTCAAACATTTTGGGCAAGAGTTGGATTTTATCTGGTAAAATTAAACATGCACATATTGAATGAGCCAGAAATTCTATTCCAAGATTTTAAATTTAGAAAAAGTCTTGCACTTTTGCACCTAGAATTACAGGCAAGTATATTCACAGTAACATTATTCATCCTATTCAAAACCATAAAAACCTGAACACAACTGGAATGCCCATCATTAACTAATTGGATTATATTGTGATAAATGCATCCAGTGGAAATGAGTGGCCCACAGCCACACCCATTAACTAGGTAAATCTCAAATATGTCTTATTGAATAAAAAAAGCAAGTGACAGAAGAATTGTACTGTAAGATTCAAATAATTATTTAAAATGAATCAAAATAAATTAGGAATTCAACTGCTTAGGAATTCAAACCCACATGTTAAAACCATTAAGCACCAACCAACCATCTAGAAGAATCTGGAGAGCTATGCTGAATAAAAAAAGCAATCCCAAGGTTACGTATTATCTGATTCCATTTATATAATATTCTCAAAATGAAAAAAAACATAAAAATGGAAAAAAGATTAATGGTAGGTTGTCAGGAGTTAAGCATTTATAAAACGGCAACATGAGGGAAACTTGTGGTAATGGAAGTGTTCAGGGTCTCTGGTAGTTGATACCCAAGCTTACCCATGTGATGTAGTTGTATAGAACTACACATACACATGTACAAATGAGTACAAGTCAAACTATATCAATCTGAGTAAGACCTGCAGATTGTCGCTGTCAATATCCTGCTGGTGATACTGTCCTCTAATTCTATAAAATTAACCACTGGGGGAAATTGAATGAAAGGTACACAGTTGCATGTAAATAAATCTACATGATCTTCAAATAAAAAGTTTAATTTTTAAAAATGTCAGAAGTTGCTGATATAGTAGATCTTAAAAATCATCGTAAGGAAAAAAATATATAATTAGGTGTGGTGATGAATGTTAACTAAACTTATCATGGTGATCATTTTGTAATATACACATGTATCAAATCATTACATTATACATCTAAAACTAATAAACTGTCATATGTCAATTATATATGAATTTCAAAAATACTAGGCAAAACAAGAAAATGGTACAAAAGTCAGTATAAGGGTGATGATCACTGGAGAGAGGAACAAGTATAAAACTAGGGAGGGACAAATAAGGGCAGGCGTTCCAAAGTACTAGTAATGCTGTATTTTTTAACCTGGAGGATAAGAATAATTGTTCATATTATTTAACCATGTATGCATATTATAATCAAGCTTGTCTGTGTGATATATTTCACAATAATTGCTTAAAATTTTTTTATTTATTTGAAAGGGAGAGAGAGAGAGCATAAAAGCAGGATGAGGGGCAGAAGCAGACTACCTGTTGAACAGGGAGCCCCACCAGCCCAATATGGGGTGTAAGGGGGGCTCAATCCCAGGACCCTGGGATCATGACCTGAACTGAAGGCAGACACTTAACCAACTGAGCCACCCAGGCATACCTATTTCACAATAATTTTTTTAAAAGATTTTATTTATTTATTTGACAGACAGAGATCACAATTAGGTAGAGAGGCAGGCAGAGAGAGAGGAAAGGAAGCAGGCTCCCTGCTGAGCAGAGAACCCGATGTGGGGCTTGATCCCAGGACCCCGGGATCATGACCTGAGCTGAAGGCAGAGGCTTTAACCCACTGAGCCACCCAGGTGCCCCTCACAATAATTTTTAAAAGAAAACCAGGGGCTCCTGCCTGGCTCAGAAAGTAGAGCATGCAACTTTCAATTTCAGGGTCATAAGT